TCTATCGTGTTTTCAAGTAGTGCCCGAAGGGGGGCAACGAAACTGAACGATAATCGGCCACAGAATACGGCCTAATAGTGTAAACAGGGATATACTGCTAGTATCGTTATATCATAACAGACCTGCAAAAAATCTTAATCAGGCACAACATAATGTACGAACCTCACTGTATAAAAAGGAGTGATTTTCACTGATTGCATATGATCCTCTGATAACGTGGATTCGTGGTGTCGGAACCCAGTAATACGGTGTATTATTGCATGACAGTTCGGCATTTACTGCTGAAGAAACCATATAAAGATTTGCAGATAAACCGCATGAGGTATTTACGCATAAAAACATCTTTAGAAAAATTATTCCTGCTTGAATAATCACTATTGAAATGCCTTAATCCCACTTGGCTCTCAATGGACTTGTCTTTTTTATGCACCGCGGGCTTTATCGCACTGTAAAAACTGAATGGTTGAAATGACCAAAAAAAAAGGTTGCAACCATATAAAATGGTTGTTTCAACCAATTAAATTGGTTAAAACCAAATTAAAATGGTAGAAATAACCAATAAAAAATTGGTAAAATGGATATGAAAGCTCATATTGGTAAAAACAACCAAATATATTTAGTAGCAACAAATAAAATTTGGTTAAATTGACCAATTAATCTTTGTGGTCAATGGGGTATATTTGTAGACCTCTGGTTCTATGTTCTATTGAATCCAATAGAATATGCTAGAATGCTATAGCACATTCTAAATCCTATGGCTATAGAATATTCTATAGGACTTCGTATGATCTTATGCTATATAGAATTCCATTGCCGTATTCTATAGAATTTACAAATCCAAAAGAATATTAAATCTTAAAGTTAAAATTCTCAGCAAAAATCACTCGTTTTGTAAGGACAAATCACACATATTTCACACTTATTGTAAACTGTTTTCATAATATACCTGTTCGCAGGTTAGGTGGCGGGCGTTTTGCCCAAAAAGGACCGCAAGGTTATGTGGGACTTGTATAACCGACACGCTTTATTTTCAAATTTTGAGCGCGTCTTTGACTCTTTGTCATCAGTTCAAGGTTTTATAGTAGAATTTAGTGAGTTTTTCTTTCGTATTTTAACATAAAATACGCGTTATTTGAATTTGTCAATGAGTAGTCATGCGAAATTGGTGAAACACGCTGGATTAATATGCGAGGAGATCCGGATTATTTGTGAATACTGACTGTGATCGCGAGGAAGAAGTAATTGTGTCATGGCCATGTGGAATTTCTAAAGTTGATAAGAAAATAATCAAAGGTTCCATTCAACTATCTACAATTTCAACAACAACATGTGTACAGCTAAAGTATTATAATTCAGTGGTGAGTGTGTTTGTATATAGTATATGTTTATATTTAAAATATTGACTATTTTTTCAGATCAGACTTTGTATGGCTGCTGGACACTTTTTCAAAACTTTGTCTAGCTGTCACATGCCTACTAGTATTAATTAAATATGAAATGCCCTCTATATATAACCATGCACTGAGTCATTTAAAAGATTACTTTATTCACTCCATCAAGGCTTCAAGATCACCTTTAAGTGCAAGATTCTTGTGACTGATGCTGAATCAGAAATCCTCAAATTCTGATGCTGAATCAGAAATGGCAAGTATTATTGTATTTATGCTGTCAAAACTCAACAACTGCAAATCCTACTTCTGGTGAATCATATAGATAATATAATATACCTTTTATTTATATCATTATAAATAGGGCCATTACAATTTCTGTCAATGCTTTTGCAGTACATTTATAAATTCTATAGCTATATCATGGCATCATGCTAAGAATGAATAAGGTGTCAAATGTTTAAATTTCATATTTACTGTTAAAATTTACAGATTTTCTTATATCCAAACATATTAACCAAAGGTCAAAATTTGGTTTATGCAATTATGGGCATGTCGAGGATGCAAGAACAACTTTGCTCTCATTCCATCCCTGGGAAACTTTCAAATGTCTTTAAAGAAAAGGATGCAAAACCCCAACTCGACCCAGAGAAAGTTAAGAGTATATGTGGTAAGTAGTAATTGTTAGTAACTATTTGTGGAAGTTAATATATCTTATATACATATCTTGGTTTAGCTAATTGTTGACTTTTACTTTTTCTGTGTGTAGAGCATCATTTCGATGCACATGTTTAAGATGCCCAAACATTGATTCAAAGAAGCCATCAATGCTGGCTGCTCTGGAAAAGAAGAAGAACAAAGATGTCCAACAATTATTGGTCTATTAGAGGATTGTCACCCGAACTAGAAAAAGGTATCTACAGATATATATGTATATAATATACAATGTTGAACTATGCAAATCACATTTATTATGTTGCCTGCTGAATCTTGTAATCAAACTTATTTAATAGAAATTGAAAACCATTGCATCTACACTGCCCCGCTGCATCAGTTGAGGCAGAGAAAGACCTGGACAATTATTTTGGGAAATTGTCCCTGTAAATATTAAACTATAGTTCAAGAGTTACTCCATAAGAACTAAAAATATGCCCAAGTGGCTGCTTGTCAAGTGTAGGGTCTTGCTCTTTTGTGTCCCAGGATTTTTCGCATATGTAAATGTTTTATTTCCAAGCTTAGGAATATAAAGTTTTATAATTTTTAAATTTTATTTTAGGATGACAGTGGTGTTGAAATTTAGACCATTGTAAAAAAAGAACATTCCCGAAGTTGCTATTAACTGGATCTCTTGGTGACATCCATTCACTAGACCTTTTGGCTGAAGGCATGGTAGCAATAAAGTTTAAGCAGTTTTCCATCTTAAATGCTGTTGTGTGTTTGCTGACTGCATTGTATGTATCCAACGCAGAGAACCCTAAAGATGGAGGTGGGTAGACAAAGAATGTGTTCCTTCTTCTGGACCAGATATTACTACAAACAGACGGAAAAACGAACATTCCAATTGGAGTTAAAAACTTTTTACCGCAGCTTTGAGAACCTGGAAATGACTTAAGTATAGATAGATGAATCCTAGTAAGATAAGTGTTTGAATGTAGTAATTTGTATATATGTATGCAAATAACCATTAGGATAATTTATTTATTATATTAGATCTTTTATAATATATATGTGTGTTTTGACAAAATTTGATTTGAAGTGCTCTGAATTTCAGGATAATTTAACCAATCTTTAATTGGTTGAAATAATTGGTCAAAAAAACCATTGCACATTGGTTACATTAATTAAATTCAATATAGGTTACATCAACCTATTAAATATTGGTAGATTCAACCAATATTAATATTGGTAATTTTAACCAAAATGAATTTGGTAATAAAATAACCAAATTTTAATTGGTTGTCCTGGTTGCATCCAGGAGAACCTTTTTTTTTTGGTTGTTTCAACCATTCATTTTTTACAGTGCGTGTACACAAGATATCTAAATAGATTATGCATAGAGGCATTTGAATAAATTTTTGTATACCATTTAATTTCTATTGAAATAATTATATTATTTCATGCATGTATACATGCTAATAAGCAGATATACAGTATGTTAAGTTGCATACATGCATAAACAAGGTATTGGTTTGTAGTTTTAATCAAGAAACATTATCCCCGTTTACATAACACTCGATCTATATATTGACACGGCATGGCTAAAATGCACATGCATTAAGGCCCGCTTAATGGCTTCAGACGTCAAACTTTTCATGTGCCGAACAAAATGCTAAAGTCTTTATTTATAAGTTTACATGTTTGTTTCCATTCGATTCGGCACATGAAAAGTTCGACAAACTGAAGCCGCCCTAATTTAGGGGCCGATTGCATGTACCGGCCGGCTAGCCCGCTCTGGCGGGCTGAAATTTAGCAAACGACTATACCAAAGCGTTCACACTACACTCGATTTATTGGCACGGCACGGATAAAATAGGTACCCGTGCCCATTTCATCTGTTCTCGGCCTTTGTTTTGGTGGCTTGAGCCCCGTTTACATTACACTCGATTTATTGGCACGGCACGGCTAAAATTGGTACCCGTGCCCATTTCATCTGTTCTCGGCCTTTGTTTTGGTGGCTTGAGCCCCGTTTACATTACACTCGATTTATTGGCACGGCACGGATAAAATAGGTACCCGTGCCCATTTCATCTCGCTCGCCTTTGTTTTGGTGGCTTGAGCCCCGTTTACATTACACTCGATTTATTGGCACGGCACGGCTAAAATTGGTACCCGTGCCCATTTCATCAGCGCCCGGCCTTTTTTTTGGTAGCATGACCACTAGTGAAAATGGGCAGGGGTACCCATTTTAGCCGTGCCGTTCCGATAAATTTACTGTAAAGTAAGCCCCGTTTACATCACACTCAATTTATTGGCACGGCACGGATAAAACTTGGTCCCGTACCCAATTTTATTAGTGTTCAGGCTACCAAAACAAAGGCCGAGCACAAATGAAATGGGTACGGACACCCATTTTAGCCGTGCCGTGTCAATAAATTGAATATCGTGTAAACGGGGCTGTAAACGGGGCTTTGAACACTGAAAAAATTGGGTACGGGTACCAATTTTAGCCGTGCCGTGCCGATAAATTCAGTGTTGTGTAAACGGGGCTTAAGTAATTTTTGCCGGGCTGAAATTTAGCATACGAAGAAAATTAGCAAACGGAGAAGCCATTGTTGTTTGTGGGTGTGTGTAACACTGTGCATGTATTGACAAATTCCCAGCCCGGTTTACCCGTTTGAAACGATTACATACGAACTTTCAGCCCGGCAAGACAGACTAGTAGCCCCGTTGACATATCCGGGCTGAAAGCTCGCATGTCAGTAATCGAAACGTCAAAAATTGCTTGCGATAATATAGGAAACGGGCTAGCCCGGCAAAGCGGGCCAGTTTGCCGGGCTAACCCGGTCCATCCAGTTATATCAAGCCCGTTTAGCTTAAACGGCGGATAAGTTCAAAATAGAAAGTCAGTCTATCGTTTTATTCAATAAAGAAACTAAATATTTTTAACCTTAATACATAGATACTGCTAATGCAAACGTGCATGTCACGCTGTTTTTGTAATTCCGGTTTATTCAAGTTTCCTGATGAAATTTCGCGATGGCAATGGGAACTACTTGTAATGGAATTATATATTTTCTATTGATCACGGGCTTCAGCCGCATTCTTCCATTCCTCGCCAATTTATTCCATAGCCATATATAAGTTACCATTGACAGCTAAATGCTTGAATGCTGGTGTCCTTTAAATATCTCAAAATCATCTCCCGCTTCGTTAAATATTTGGCACATGTGAACAACCATATATGCAAATGCTTTAACCAAAACTGCATGCTCAAATCTAGTTAATCACTTAGGGCACTTTCCTTTATACGGTAAAAACGGCCAGACCGATGCTGTTGCAATTCAGCTTGGAGTGTTTTAACAAATCTGCAATTCGCGTTTATCGTTATTTACATCTGCATGCCTAGCAAGAGAAATGCAGTTTCACCGACTTCAGTTCAAAATATGACTTGTTTAATCATTTTGGCCGCTTAATGGTAATTAAAATCAGGTGTGCATCTGATCGAATCTGGTAATAAAAATTGCCAGTCCATGTAGTACACTGCTTATAAGTCCTCGGCAAATTTGAACATGGATTGGCATCAGATTTTTCAAATCAATCTGCAATGTCTAATATCAAAGGTGTATGCTATAGATTATACAAGCGCATGTGTATAAAGCCCGCAAGCGGTTACAAAATGAGGCTTTTACAACCGCTCTCCCGCTGTGCGAGGATCATTTTTAGACTTTTTTTACTGTTAGACAAGCGAAATGATGCCAAAATACTTATATAAACTTTTGAGATATTTTGATAAAATAATAGTTTGCTGGACATTTCAATCTTACAGACAAATATTTACTATAGACCTATTCCACGGACGTTATAATCGTTAAAAGTTGTTCTCCAGATGTTTCCTTGCTTCAATAGAAATAATAGTTACGTGAGCGGTGCATGTAGGTTTACATAGCGACAAGACCAGTTAACAAAACAAACTTTCCCACACTAGTAAAATAATATTTCTGTATTTTGCTCAAAATTTACGTTTTTGTAAAATTTATGCCACGTTAATTTGCCGTCCAGATGCCTAATGTGAAGTAATGTGCAGAACTAGGGTCTATTGGTTGAAATAATTTTGCACGACTACATGTAATAACCTTTGCATCATGGCTTCATTGATAAGAATTATTGTAAAAATGTGCAGATTCCAAGTAGGGTCGAAACTACCTCGATAATATACGACGTCCAAAAGAAATCCGGCAAAGTGAGAATATAAATATGTAACACATAGCTATTGAATCTAGTCTAGGCCTTGATACCTAGAGCTACAAAGGATGTACGGTACGTGTAGAAAAATTGTCTGTTCCTCTTTTACATCACAAAGGATAGTTTTCATTACCATAATAAAGATTATTAAACGTGGGACGGTGTGCTGGAGCAGTGATCACTCGTGGTTTCAAATCATATTGCTTATTTTTTTCCAAGAGCCTAAGATTAATATAAAAAAATAATTGTTAAACTTTAAACGAGGACACGATTGTTTTATGAACCCAAGTGCAAGTGTGGCTGTACAGGAACAGAAGAAACGTCATGTAATATGCACTATAAGGTGTCGAAGGAACTCCATGCAATTTCGTGTTATGGGGCGGCCAAAAAATAGCAAAAATCAACCAAGTTACCATGGTAACGAAACCATCATGAATGAGCAAGCTTTTTTCAAACGTAAAAAAAAACATAAAAGCATAGAAAGATGTCACGAAAACACCTTTATAACAGCATTTTACCATGATTGTAATAACATCTTCCCTCAAAAAAATTTTATAATTTTGGTAGTCCCCCCTTGAATATATTCTTACCCCCAATTAAATTTAAACCCAATCGAACAGCAACAAAAGAACGGGTTTTTTCTTCCTCTTAGAGGAATTGCCGTATCATGCAAGCGAAATCAAATCGCGCATCGGACAATTAGCCAAAGATTTCGAGCTGTGCACCACAACTTTCGGGAAACAAAACTGTGACGTAGATAAATACAGTCACATACGCTCTTCAAATTTTAGTATATTTTGCGCCAAAACACACTTGCGATGACGAAAAAAAATAATAACATGCAGTATTATAGTATTTCGTTTGTGATGCAGATACTTAAATATACAGGGTGTATCAAAAAAAAATGTCCCAAATGTAAAAATTCCGTTTTTCAGGATATTTTGCAGAATTTGGCAAATTTTTGTGTTCCTAAAGATAGTTAAGACTTATCTGGTATACCTAGGCCAAGTTTGGTTTTTCAGTAACAAAATTATGTTACCGGGGGGGTGGTTCCTTTCCACTGATATTAAGAGGGCTTGCGAGCGAAAATGTGAAGCAGAAATTGAGATATTATTTAGCTGTCTAAAAGTAGGAAAGCTTTTTAATAAACTGTCAAAGTTTCAGGAAAAATAATGCATACTGGGAGCAACGCGCGACCCCTAAAGGTGACAAATATTTCACTGCGCGCAGTGGATTAAATGCATCGTTGATTTTAGCGTGACCGATCTCATACAAGGTGGGCAAATGAATAAATTAAAGCGAGAAACTGAACACAAAAACAATGCGATTTATTCGTGATGTTAATCCTCAGCATGTCCACCATTTCATTCTTAGCAAACTGCGGCTTGTCTTAGCATACTAAACACTGAACAGCGAACCATTTGTCTGTCCATTCGCCTAGATTTGCCGGTGGTAGCGTAGGCGATTTGCAAGAAAGAATTTCGAACGAAATGGATAATTTGAGACAGGACAGACAAATGTGGTTCGGCGTTCAGTGTTTACCATGCTCAGACGAGCCGCAGTTTGCTTAGAAAGTATGGTAGAAATGTTGAGGATTAACATCAAGAATAAAAATCTTGTTATTAAATCGCTTCGTCTTCTTGTTCAGTTTCTCGCTTTAATTTATTCATTTGCACAGCCTTGCATGAGATCGGTCACGCTAAAATCAACCATGCATTTAATCCACTGCGCACAATGAAATATTTGTCACTTTTAGGGGTCGCGCGTTGCTCCCAGTTTGCATTATTTTTCCTGAAACTTTGACAGTTTATTAAAAAGCTTTCCTACTTTTAGACAGCTAAATAATATCTCAATTTCAGCTTCACATTTTCGCGCGCAAGCCCTCTTAATATCAGTGGAAAGGAACCACCCCCCGGTAACATAATTTTGTAAATGAAAAACTAAACTTGGCCTAGGTATACCAGATAAGTCTTAACTATCTCTATAGGAACACAAAAAATTGCCAAATTCTGCAAAATATCCTGAAAAACGGAAATTTTACATTTGGGACATTTTTTTGATACACCCTGTAGAGAATATCCTTTGCATGTTGAGAATATTAATGTGTCGCGATAAATTGGTTGATACTAACAACGATAAGAATTAATTTTAAGAACTGGAGGGTGAGAAATTACTAGCAAACAAAACCTATACTGCAAGCAAAGCAAAATCAATATTTCTTATTTTCTTTTTACTCTCTTTTTATATCATTTTTTTATTTTTCTTCGTCACATTGCTAAATACAATATTTTCTAAGCAAACACCTTGCTGCCTAATATACCGCTCATTAAGAACTTACCTAAAACCAGTAATTATTACAATTACCAACGCCACCGCAAAACATAGCCCAAGCCATCCCAACACCACTCTTAGGACATGTTTTACGTCCTCAACTACACTTTTGTCGACTCCTATAAGAATTAATTTAAAAACTGGTTAAAATGAGATTTAAAAATATCTAGATCAAAAATATTGCACGGGAGCGCGGTTTACGACAAAAAAAGCTTAAGTTGCTAAGTTGATGTAGAATAGGTTTTCTACATCATTGTTTAATCCTCTTTTATTCTTGTTCTAATTTGACGCGTCCTTTTGGAGTTTTACAGATATGGATGATATATAGAGGAATTAATACGGCGCATATGTTGCATAAAATCATTTTGATAACTATTGTTGGACTGGATCCCCCACGAATTAATAATTCTCAAAATTAATTTAAAACAACAAAATTTATCTATAATCGCTCCTGGAAACTGAAAAGTTCGAAAAGATCACGCCCCGTTGAGTGGCTTAAGAGGCACTCCATAGTTTGGCCACAGGTTTAGCAAGTTTCTCTTGTGTGAAACGTCATTTCATCGTTGGAAAAATAAAAACTTTTGAGGCTCATAATCATTTAACAACAGTAATTAAATAAACATTGCACTACCAGACGTTTTATCGATAGTAACAAATAACAAAAATTGCGCAATGCCATAGTAGAAGCAAGAACGCAGATTTTAAAAATACATGCTAAGCGATATAGCAGATTCATGCGAGTTCTGCTACGCAAATTTTCACTGCATTGGGCACCCTTTTTCATTGATAATATCATGGTTTGTAGAATGTTTCATGTAAATGTAGTCATAAAATCATAAATGTGTTGTAGCCATAAATATGCATGAAGCTTCATAATTAAATTGTGTTTCGAAACAAACTTGAGACTATTTAAAACAGTAATATCTTCAATATATCTAATTAATGTAATATCTACTTTCTCTTGGTGATTTCCAAAACGCATTATAATTGCGTCATAATTATGATGGCAAAAGTAATGATCAGGATTATGTGCATTCACGAGGTTAATTAAATAATGGTAAATCAAAAAACTTACCAAAGATTGGAGCAACTAAAAGAAAGACAAAATAAATGTTAGGAATTATGTGAGAAAATGATAGAAAGTCAACGGGTAAAATGCCAAATCACAACCCTTAACAAAGAGGCCATGTTTGAGTTGTTTCCTGAAACGAAATGGCAAAAATCAACGCTGAAAAGGCAAATTTGATTGCCATTAAAATGAATAAGATATCTCCAAATGATTTTAGGTAGATCAAATAATGCAATATTTTTTGCATGAACAATTGAAAGAAACATCAGTATTGTTACTCTAGCTATTGTGATGGCAATTATTTTACATTCGTCGATATCTGAAAGATCGAATAGAATTTTTTTAAAAAATATTCTGCAATGTGGATCTGTGGAATCCAAATAAAAATTGACCCGGAGCAGATGATTAAGAAAAAATTGCATATTATTATAATGCTATAACAGTATTATTGTTCTATGGCTTGTATTATTAAATAATATATCGGCTCGAATTACATTGTAAAAAATGAATAACCGAAAAAAAAATATTGAAACCATTTGTTAAAATTGTTGATTCAACCAATTTTGAATTTAAAAACCTATAAACTGCTTAAAACCTGATTATAATGGTAACTAACTAGTAAAAAAAAATATCGGCCATCAACACAAAAATTGCTTGAAATGTAAAACTGTCAAGCCTATTCTAAATTAGTAAAAACACTCTGAAATGTAAAATGGTATAGAGTAATGTAAAATGGCTAGCGCACTGTGAAATGGCCCAGCACGTGTGAAATGGTCTGGGTAATGTCAAATTGTCTAGGGTATTGTGAAACGGCTAGCGTAATGTGAAATGGTTAGCGTAATGTGAAATGGTCTAGCGTAATGTAAAATGGTCTAGATAATGTCACGTGTGAAATGGTCTAGGGTAATGTGAAATGGTTTAGCGTAATGTGAAATGGTCTAGATAATGTGAAATTGTCTAGGGTAATGTGAAATGGTTAGCGTAATGTGAAATGGCCTAGCACGTGTGAAATGGTCTAGGGTAATGTGAAATGGTTTAGCGTAATGTGAAATGGTCTAGCGTAATGTGAAATGGTCTAGCGTAATGTGAAATGGTCTAGCGTAATGTGAAATTGTCTAGCGTAATGTGAAATGGTTTAGCGTAATTTGAAATAGTTTAGCGTAATGTGAAATGGTCTAGCGTATGGTGAAATGGTTTAGCGTAATGTGAAATGGTCTAGCGTAATGTGAAATGGTCTAGCGTAATGTGAAATGATTTAACGTAATGTGAAATGGTCTAGCGTAATGTGGAATGGTCTAGCGTAAAGTGAAATGGTCTAGCGTAATGTGAAATGGTCTAGCGTAATGTGGAATGGTCTAGCGTAATGTGAAAAGGTCTAGCGTAATGTGAAATGATTTAGCGTAATGTGAAATGGCTAGCGTAATGTGAAATGGTCTAGCGTAATGTGAAATGGTTTAGCGTAATGTGGAATGGTCTAGCGTAATGTGAAATGGTCTAGCGTAATGTGAACTGGTCTAGCGTAATGTGGAATGGTCTAGCGTAATGTGAAATGGTCTAGCGTAATGTGAAATGGTCTAGCGTAATGTGAAATGGTCTAGCGTAATGTGAAATGGTCTAGCGTAATGTGAAATAGCCAGCGTAATGTGAAATGGTCTAGCGTAATGTGAAATGGTCTAGCGTAATGTGAAATGGCTAGCGTAATGTGAATTGGTCTAGCGTAATGTGAAATGGTCTAGCGTGATGTGAAATGGCTAGCGTAATGTGAAATGGTCTAGCGTAATGTGAAATGGTTTAGCGTAATGTGGAATGGTATAGCGTAATGTGAAAAGGTCTAGCGTAATGTGAAATGGTCTAGCGTAATGTGGAATGGTCTAGCGTAATGGGAAATGGTCTAGCGTAATGTGAAATGGTCTAGCGTAATGTGAAATAATCTAGCGTAATGTGAAATGGTCTATATATAGCGTAGTGTGAAATGGTTTAGCGTAATGTGAAATGGTCTAGCGTATGTGAAATGGTTTAGCGTAATGTGAAATGGTTTAGCGTAATGTGAAATGGTCTAGCGTAATGTGAAACGGTTTAGCGTAATGTGAAATGGTCTAGCGTAGTGTGAAATGGTTTAGCGTAATGTGAAATGGTTTAGCGTAATGTGAAATGGTTTAGCGTAATGTGAAATGGTCTAGCGTAATGTGAAATGGTTTAGCGTAATGTGAAATGGTTTAGCGTAATGTGAAATGGTCTATATATAGCGTAGTGTGAAATGGTTTAGCGTAATGTGAAATGGTCTAGCGTATGTGAAATGGTTTAGCGTAATGTGAAATGGTTTAGCGTAATGTGAAATGGTCTAGCGTAATGTGAAACGGTTTAGCGTAATGTGAAATGGTCTAGCGTAGTGTGAAATGGTTTAGCGTAATGTGAAATGGTTTAGCGTAATGTGAAATGGTCTAGCGTAATGTGAAATGGTTTAGCGTAATGTGAAATGGTCTAGCGTAATGTGAAATGGTTTAGCGTAATGTGAAATGGTCTAGCGTAATGTGAAATGGTCTAGCGTAATGTGAAATGGTTTAGCGTAATGTGAAATGGTCTAGCGTATGTGAAATGGTTTAGCGTAATGTGAAATGGTTTAGCGTAATGTGAAATGGTCTAGCGTAATGTGAAATGGTTTAGCGTAATATGAAATAGTTTAACGTATGTGAAATGGTTTAGCGTAATGTGGAATGGTTCAGCGTAATGTGGAATGGTCTAGCGTAATGTGAAATGGTATAGCGTAATGTGAAATGGTATAGCGTAATGTGGAATGGTCTAGCGTAATGTGAAGTGGTCTAGCGTGATGTGAATAATTCAATAATAAGATCTTATCTTCTAAGTAACCATAACTTAGATTTTGGGTTTGTGATTTTACTGATTTATGTAATTAGAGCTTAGACATCATAACAACAGTAACCATTATACCATACGTATTTCTGGTTTAAGGCATTAAACGAAAAAACAATCAATCGTCTAACTAAAAAGCCTATAGACGGATTGCAAAAATTTCGATTACAACGAATTATGGTACAGGTTGTGAAAATTGCGAAGGCTGAGAGTTGGAATACTCCAAATTGTAAACACAAATATGCAAGTGCGAGCAAATATGCAATCGTATAAATTGGTAAAATCGCTACTCGTTACTTGCGAGTGACTCGGACACCCGCTTCTAGTTACTAAGGATCAGAGTTGCGTCAAGTTACTCGCTTACTGTATACATGGATGGAACGCCAAGATAAAAGACAAAGAAATCATGACGAGCATAAAAACTTATATATTTTGCTAATGTCGTGATTTTATCTACTCACCAATACAATCACTGCCATTCTTGACGAAGCCTTCATTACAGATACAATCGTAAGTAAGATTTCTGTTGACGCATGTTGCATTTTCACCGCAATCAGGGGCTTGAATAATTTGTGCAGGTTTGCACTCATCGATATCTAAAACATAGCGAGATAGTCGTCGCGTTATAGGAAAAATCTTGGGAGAAAAAATGTTCACTACCTCTGCCACAGAGAGGGATTGTTTCAAAGAGGTCCACAGAGAAAGACTGTTTTAAAGAGATAGCCAGACAGTTACTTTAAAGACTACGATGTTAATTAATTAATGTAGTCGTAAAATAGTTGACTTTCAGAATTGCCTTATACGTGTATTTACCCGGATGGAATCTACCACCAAAAAGAGGATTCTATATATTTTAACGTCTCACCCCCTGTAGTTAATTAAATATATTCATATAATGCAGGGTTAAGTGCATTAAATTCCACACGATGGAATGAAGAGAAAATACAGCCTCTTTCACGGGCATGTCTAATGTAATAAAATTATGTTGAAATTATATAGGCTAGCTATTTAATAATTATTTGCTGAAGGCGAGGTGAACATCGCTCAATAAAAATCGAGACGAAGTAGAGGGGTTTTTTGACGATAATCACCGAGCCTGAGGTCAATAATTTTTTTGGTATATTTAAAAAGGTGATTTTTTGAAAAAACGAGTCTATTGTAGGAAATACATGTTTTTCAAACGAAAAAAAATATCTCGACAGTTTTACAATATGAATTAAAACAATGTTTTCGCAAAATAATGTTGAAGCGTTCAAAGAAATAGTTTCCTCCCTAAATTTTTCACTTCTTTTGTGCTTTTAGGTAGAGTATTTTCATCTATTATCTTCGTATTTCTTCATCTATCACGTCGACAAAATAACTCGCCGTAATTTGCAAAATCCGCTTTGGTGATAATCGAGTAATAATCCGAGGTCCTTGAATCAGATGATAATTTATATTTGGCATGGTATATATTATAATTTTAATACATTAGAGATGCCAGCATACGGAGGAGGCTAGACCAGATATACCTTCAAATTTAAAAAGACCAGCCAATTCAATGCTAGTGGGATCAGTGTTAGCGCTGAGGACTTGTAGGTTGGTGCCAGGAAGAAATGTGCCGCTGTTTGTTACGATCAATGTTGCGGCTAATTCTCTTTGAAGATCTTCGTAGGTAATTCCAGTTACATCGTTAAATGTTACGACGATGTCGACAGCTAGAGAGCCATTACTAAATTCAAAATATGAAAAAAACATTTACAAGGCATCATTACTGTACCAATACTGACTGCCAGTTCGCCCTATGTAAAGAATGTAAATTCGTTATGAGATCCCGGTTCCCACCTGGTGGATTCCGGATTCCGATTTTTAGATTGCGGATTCAATTTTGAAAATTAAGGGACTGTTTACATGAGCCCGGTTACCCATGATTCAACGAAGCGTGAGGGGACTTTGAGATGTTAAAATAAGTCTTTAAGTTGTATGCGACTGCGAGGATCATGTTATCTGCTCATTTTAATAACTCAAAATCATCTCACGCTTCGTTGAGTCTTAGGTAACCGGGCTCATGTAAACAGCCCCTAAGAATGGTTTCAACGCATAAGGTTTCCTTAGAGAGTTAATACAAGGCAGTCCCTGGCCGATAGCTAATATTAAAGGTAAATAATGTCAGTTGAAGATAAAGCAACTTAAAGCAGCTTTATTCCAAAGCTTAAAATGTCTCTGGATATCGGATTTCGAATTTCTTTATATTTGGCGAGATAGTGCGCTTCGCCATCTTTCAGCGAGACGCTTTGCAATATAATTGCGGTAAATAAGGTCACCGGTAATTCATGACTTGTAATCTATATCAGCAATGCACAGGGTTTCACGCTCTCTTTTTTAAACAAAAACTGCTGTCGTCATCTAAAACGGTTCTATTTCCTTTTGCTAATGAGAACAAAACACTTACGTTAAATTTGCAACGAAGAATGAAGCAATTTGCGAAGTGAGGTTCGCACTTCTGAATATGTTGATGCCCTAAATTTGATAAAAATAATTTTGTCGCTGTTAGTATAGCATAGTATTTATACTTATTTGTAGTAACAAAAGACAAGTAATAATAGATTCTCTATACTAACTTTCTGTTGCTAAATCAAAACACTACAGATCAGCTGATACAATTAATATATTCATTTTGAAGGCTTTTTATGCACTAATTAAACTGACCACGCTGACGCTTGTTCATGTAAAAGAGGTCATAGCCTGTTATTGTCTAATAGCCATATGTGACATCGTCTCGTTTGTCCGACAAGTGAGGTCGTAGTGTGGAATTTTTTTGCTGCGAGGTTAGCGAGGACTTTTGGGACTTTTCATTCAACAGATGCGAATTTAAAAATCTGAGCTTGATCAGAAGGTAGAAATAATCACAGTGATTGTTTATTATTTATATCGTTATGAGAAATAATTGAACAGCATCGTGCCCGCAATGCCATTGAAACAGATTATACTTGTATACGGATGGCAAATGTATTTGCTTCTCTACTTGTATATAAATACTATAATTATATTTGTATTGCTACCGTGTTAGTTGTCCATATTATAGAGCCCTTATAATCCATATGTAATACGTACATGCATCTCTTAATGTAAACAAATTATAAATAACTAATTCTAATCTGGACTATAATCATTTTGTGTTTTAATTTGTATCTATTTTGTTTATTTTTAGCTTTACACACTATAAAGGATTACGTCAGCCTTCCTCAACTACTTAAAACGAAATGATTAGATTAAGCTAAGGATTGTATTTCCCCACTCAGAACATGGATTTAATTATTAGCAAAATATTCATTAGGCTGTCACACACGCCTGAAAGTTAGTAAGGTCTGTTTTAGACGTCGAACTTTTCATGTGCCGAACCTAATGTTAACGAGCTAAAGTCTTTGTTTAATTCATTTGCATTCGATTCGGCGCATGAAAAGTTCGACGTCTAAAACAGGCCTTAATCAGCAAATAAAGGAACTTCTGTAAGCTATGTAGCCAATTGAGAATTCGATTCCAACTTGCAATTCGCTTCTTTGGCGAAAATTGTGTTCTCAGTACAAATGTAGGTCTAAATTGTGTTCATGGTACAAATTACACTACAGTATAAATTGTTTTCACAGTACAAATTATATGAAAATTGTGTTCACGGTACAAATGTCCTAGTGTATTACTTGCTCCAGGCCTGTGAATGCACGGCAGCACTTGCTATTGGAACTTCTAGTTTATGCAGGCTATTTTACGACATAACGAGCGATAAATAGTGGTATCCAATGTTATCACGTCACGTCAATTTGCCAACGAGCGGTAATGCGAAAAAACACACAAATGCGACTGAACAAATATTTAACGCTTCTCTTTTCTAACACAGTGCTATAGCATTGTTATATATCAACAATAGACTTCTTCGTATGCAGATAACGATAAACTTCGGCTTAACAAGACGCCTGTTCCGGCGTTAAATCCGGCGTGCCGTGCACGTGCCACGGTGCCAGTCTCAATAAAAAGCTTCTGAACATAAACAATACAATTCATACTCGTTTGGATGCCTTGCGAACTTAAAATCTAAAATGTTGTTGGATCGCAACATTCAGAAGCACATCGTACTTTAAAAAGTGTAGAAGTTGAATGTTGCTCTATAGAAATTGTTCAAAAATGTAAATAAACCGCATGGCACGTTCACTTTGTCTTACACTTCGGTATTGCGCTTATATTAAATCGAATTCAATTCTGTGCAAACTGAGACATGTCAACGCGCCCATACACCACCACATCTTGTTAAACGGCGATATAGCAGCGATATTAATAAAATAGGACTAGAATTTACATGTATTTTAAAAATATATTCTTACCCCAATTCAATCTAAATTTAATGGAACAGCATCAAAAATTGTTCCTCTCATAGAAATTGCCGTATCATGCGAGCGAAATCAAATAGTGCATCGGGAAATTAGCCAAAGCTGTGCACCACAACTCTTGGAAGACAAAACTGTGACGTAGATAAATACGGTCACATATGCATGCGAATACCAGTATATTTCGCGCCAAAACACAGTTGCGATAACGAAAAATAATAAAAAAACAAAACAAAACAAAACCTAGCCGCATTTTCAACTCCGTCGGTGACGCTGAGTAATAATTCTTGGATTCTGCTCAACCTACATCTATCATTTAAGAAAAGGAAATAATGAAAAAAAATAGAATTTGCCGTACTGTCAAACACATTTCCAGAGCGGTTTTTGTGTATTCTAAGCTTGAACGATTATTAAATCCCAGCTGATATTCACGATTCATAATAACTACCCTAACTATAACGGAACCAGCCAAATCTAAAAAAAACAAAAACGAAAGACGGGTAAAAACTTCGAAAAAACAATTAACGAAATTTGTTCGTCGATAGCCTGAACTTAGTGAACTATACAGTACTTCAAAAAGAAAACATTTTGATAAAAAGCGAAGGTAAGCTTTTCTCAAGCTCAGAGGTTGAAAATCAGTCCGAGATTTTCAAGATTTGCAATCATTATATCCTTGTGCTCAGAATTTATTTTGATGTGACCATATTACTAAATTCTTTGCACTATTTGGACTTCTATTTTACATCAAAAAAATGTTGGTCACTATACATAAAAAATACATGTGAAATTTCTTACTGGCATCATTTTCAACGATAGCCCTCGTCAAGTTTTCAATGCATTGCTCGACATCTGAAAAATATTAAATTATTCTAATTATTATGCGAATTATTCTAATTAAAAATTTTCATGTTCTTTTATCAACTTTCGAGGCCAAAAAATTAGAAATATAGATTCATATGCAGTAATTCATGAAATATTTTCGGCAAACCTCTGCAGTCTGTTCCGTTTACTGGGTAGTCTTTTTTACATATACAATTGAAAGATCCATCAGTATTTTTACAGTAGCCGTCGAAAAGACAATTATGAGAATTCACACCACATTCATCGATATCTGAATAAAATATTAACAAAAGTTAGAGCTTAGTGTTTTATATCTGTTTTAAAAATTAACAAAATAATTAAAATTTCTTCAAAGTTTTGAACCGTGCAAAGTTAGAATAACATCGTCTCTAATATTTACATACGGCTAACCTTCACAGTCAGTTCCATTTCCCAAATAGCCGCTTTTGCATGAACAATTGAAAGAACCATCAGTATTATTGCAGTAGGCATTATGATGGCAATTATGAGATTTTTCAATGCACTCGTCGATATCTGAAAAAATATTTAATTAAGGATTAGGACTTTTTTATAATTATAGGGCTCATATATTCCCAATAATTCTGATATTTTCCAAGTGCCATCGAAAATTACAAATCAACAATTACAACTCGTATTACGGAAAATCAACTTAGCAACCGTAGACAATGGGCTTATAAAAAGGGTTACTCTACCGAACTGTTATTGGCTACGATGACCGAAGACTGGAGAAAGGCGCTCGATAATAATCAAGTAGTTGGCATTGTGTTCGTCGATTTCCGAAAAGCTTTCGACTCAATATCACACTCAGTATTACTTTAAAAACTGCAGGGTCTCGGTATTTCTGGCGCTCTTTGGTCCTAGATTGCTGACTACCTGTCTGATCGTTCCCAAACGACGGCATTAAACGGGTGCCAATCACGGTCCATGCCAGTTAAATATGGGGTTGCTCAAGGATCGGTGCTTGGCCCTATTCTGTTCTTTCTCTGCTGTAACGACATGCCCGAAATCTGCGATGATGAAAGTGATATTTACATTTGCTGATGACACCACCATATATGTAATCGGCCAAACTCACGATTTTGTAGCCACAACACTCATTAGAGTCCTATGCAAGCTACATGAGTGGTGTTGCAATAATTTTTTAACACCACACCTGGACAAAACTGAATTTATGATACTGGGGCGAGGTAAATTCGTGGGGCCATTACAGGGTATTAAATTAGGAAATACTTATCTCAAACAAGTCGAGACTTCTAGATGTTTAGGAATTGAAATAGATAGTAAATTAAAGTGGAAAGCTCACGTAATTGAACTGACTAGGTCATTCGCACAAAAACTTAATCTTTTAAAGTCTCCTTATTTTTTACCAGTTAAGCAAGAGCTGATTTTTACTTTAAAAATATATTACTCTCAATCACATACGGACTCGTAATATGGGGATCATGTGGGAAAACCCTATTTGATGAATTGGAACGTACACATGTACGGGCGGCCAAAGTAATTTACAAGTTGAACTTGCAAACACCAACACAGGATGTCCTGGCTCAAACAAATTGGAAACCCCTGGAGAAGTTATATTCTCCGAGATTGTTATTTCTAGCACAAAATTGCTATTATGGTCACTTCCCTATTCCACTACAGTCATTATTTGTAAAATATTCTAGTAATTATAATCTAAGAAGAAAATTGACTATTGCTCTTCCAAAACCGAAGACTGATTTTTTAAAGAAACCAATTTCGTATCAAGCAGCAGTATTATGGAATTCAATAGATAACAATACAAGAGCAATAGAGGACTTCAAAAAGTTTAAACTAGTAATCAAAAACCACTTATCATAAGCGATAGCTCTTGTAAGATATTACTATTGTAGAATAGGATATTATATGTAATGTATTATAATAGTGTAATTGTAAAATAGAACATTTATGCTAACTATGTATTACTAAGTGCACGACCACATCAGCTATGCTTAAATTTCAATCGTGTCGAAATAAATGCTTTAACTAACTAACTAACTAACTAACTAACTAACTAACTAACTAACTAACTAACTAACTAACTAACTAACTAACTAACTAACTAACTAACTAACTAATTAACTAACTAACTAACTAAAAAAACTCATTTTTTTCAATCATGCATTAAAATGGAGGTTCTAAAACAGTGCATAAAATTCGTAGAGATATGTGCAAAAGAAATTTGATACAAAATATTCTGCTGATAAAAGCGAAATGTTCTAATTCAAAATTTTTTATTTCCTATGATCGACTTAATTTTGTGTCCTGATCATTAGAAATATAGATTCGATTGAAGTAATTTATGAAATATTTACGGCAAACCTCGGCAGTCTGTTCCATTTCCTGAGTAGCCTTTTTTACATGTACAATTGAAAAACCCATCAGAAGTAATACAGTAGGCGTTGTAAGGACAATTATGAGAAGCCGCGCCACATTCATCGATATCAGAATGGATTAAAAAATTAGGAATTTATTAGAAAAACTTGTTATTACCTCTAGAATTGAAACTTTCTTAAAAATATCGTTTTTTTCTTCTGATGGAACCTCCTGTTTCTCTTACTAATAGAATTGAGAAATTTAATATTTCAACGACCAACCTCTACAGTCAGTTCCATTTCCTGAGTAGCCATTTTTACATGTACAATTGAAAGATCCATTAGTATTGTTACAGTAAGCATTGTCATGGCAATTATGAGAACTCACATCACATTCATCGATATCTGAATGAAATAATAACAAAAGTTAGAGCGTAGTTATATACATATATCTCTTTGAAAAATGAACAGGATAAATAAAATTTCTTCAAGGTTTTGAACTGTGCAAAGTTAGAATTACATCGTCTCTAATAATTACATACGGCTAACCTTCACAGTCAGTTCCATTTCCCAAGTAGCCGCTTTTGCATGAACAATTGAAAGAACCATCGGTATTGTTACAATAGGCGTTATGATGGCAATTATGAGATTTTTCAATGCATTCGTTGATATCTGAAAAAATATTTAATTAAGGATTAGGATTTTTTTATAATTATAGTGTTCATATATTCCCAATAATTCTGATATTTTGCAAGTGTCATCGAAAAAAACTCAGTTTTTCAATCATGCATTAAAATGAAGGTTGTAAAACAGTGCATAACATTCGTACAGATATGTGGAAGAGAAATTTCATACAAAATATTCTGCCTATATAAGAGCGAAATATTCTAATTAAAAATTTTCATTTCCTATGATCGACTTAATTTTGTGTCCTGATCATTAGAAATATAGATTCAATTGAAGTAATTTATGAAATATTTACGGCAAACCTCGGCAGTCTGTTTCGTTTCCTGGGTAGCCTTTTTTACATGTACAATTGAAAGATCCATCAGTATTGTTACAGTAGGCGTTGTAATGACAATTATGAGAATCCGCGCTACATTTATCGATATCGGAATGGATTAAAAATTTGGGAATTTATTAGAAAAACTTGTTATTACCTCGAGAATTGAAACTTTGAATTCTTAAAAATATCGATTTTTTCTTGTGATGGAACCCTCTGTTTCTCTTACTAATAGAATAGAAATTTAATATTTAAACGACCAACCTCTACAGTCAGTTCCATTTCCTGAGTAGCCATTTTTACATGTACAATTGAAAGATCCATTAGTATTGTTACAGTATGCATTGTCATGGCAATTATGAGGACTCACACCACATTCATCGATATCTGAATGAAATAATAACAAAAGTTAGAGCGTAGTTATATACACATATCTCTTTGAAAAATGAAAAGGATAATTAAAATTTCTTCAAAGTTTTGAATTGTGCAAAGTTAGAATTACATCGTCTCTAATATTTACATACGGCTAACCTTCACAGTCAGTTCCATTTCCCAAGTAGCCGCTTTTGCATGAACAATTGAAAGAACCATCGGTATTATTGCAGTAGGCATTATGATGACAATTATGAGATTTTTCAATGCAATCGTCGATATCTGAAAAAATATTTAATTAAGGATTAGGATTTTTTTGTAATTATAGTGTTCATATATTCCCAATAATTCTGATATTTTGCAAGTGTCATCGAAAAAAACTCAGTTTTTCAATCATGCATTAAAATGAAGGTTGTAAAACAGTGCATAACATTCGTAGAGATATGTGCAAGAGAAATTTCATACAAAATATTCTGCCTATATAAGAGCGAAATATTCTAATTAAAAATTTTCATTTCATATGATCGACTTAATTTTGTGTCCTGATCATTAGCCGGAAATATAGATTCAATTGAAGTAATTTATGAAATATTTACGGCAAACCTCGGCAGTCTGTTTCGTTTCCTGGGTAGCCTTTTTTACATGTACAATTAAAAGATCCATCAGTATTGTTACAGTAGGCGTTGTAATGACAATTTCGAGAATCCGCGCTACATTTATCGATATCGGAATGGAATAAAAAAATTTGGGAATTTATTAGAAAAACTTGTTATTACCTCTAGAATTGAAACTTTGAATTCTTAAAAATATCGATTTTTTCTTGTGATGGAACCCTCTGTTTCTCTTACTAATAGAATAGAGAAATTTAATATTTAAACGACCAACCTCTACAGTCAGTTCCATTTCCTGAGTAGCCATTTTTACATGTACAATTGAAAGATCCATTAGTATTGTTACAGTATGCATTGTCATGGCAATTATGAGGACTCACACCACATTCATCGATATCTGAATGAAACAATAACAAAAGTTAGAGCGTAGTTATATACACATATCTCTTTGAAAAATGAAAAGGATAATTAAAATTTCTTCAAAGTTTTGAACTGTGCAAAGTTAGAATTACATCGTCTCTAATATTTACATACGGCTAACCTTCACAGTCAGTTCCATTTCCCAAGTAGCCGCTTTTGCATGAACAATTGAAAGAACCATCGGTATTATTGCAGTAGGCATTGTAATGACAATTATGAGATTTTTCAATGCATTCATCGATATCTGAAAAAATATTTAATTAAGGATTAGGATTTTTTTGTAATTATAGTGTTCATATATTCCCAATAATTCTAATATTTGCAAGTGTCATCGAAAAAAACTCAGTTTTTCAATCATGCATTAAAATGAAAGTTGTAAAACAGTGCATAACATTCGTACAGATATGTGCAAGTTCCGTTTCCTGAGTAGCCGTTTTTACATGTACAATTGAAAGATCCATCGGTATTGTTACAGTAGGCGTTGTAATGACAATTATGAGAATCCGCGCTACATTTATCGAAATCAGAATGGATTAAAAATTTGGGAATTTATTAGAAAAACTTCTTATTACCTCTAGAATTGAAACTTTCTTAAAAATATCAATTTTTTCTTCTGATGGAACCTTTTGTTTCTCTTACTAATAGAATAGAGAAATTTAATATTTAAACGACCAACCTCTACAGTCAGTTCCATTTCCTGAGTAGCCATTTTTACATGTACAATTGAAAGATCCATTAGTATTGTTACAATATGCATTGTCATGGCAATTATGAGAACTCATACCACATTCATCGATATCTGAATGAAATAATAACAAAAGTTAGAGCGTAGTTATATACATATATCTCTTTGAAAAATGAACAGGATAATTAAAATTTCTTCAAAGTTTTGAACTGTGCAAAGTTAGAATTACATCGTCTCTAATATTTACATACGGCTAACCTTCACAGTCAGTTCCATTTCCCAAGTAGCCGCTTTTGCATGAACAATTGAAAGAACCATCGGTATTATTGCAGTAGGCATTATGATGACAATTATGAGATTTTTCAATGCATTCGTCGATATCTGAAAAAATATTTAATTAAGGATTAGGATTTTTTTATAATTATAGTGTTCATATATTCCCAATAATTCTGATATTTTGCAAGTGTCTTCGAAAAAAACTCAATTTTTCAATCATGAATTAAAATGAAGGTTGTAAAAGAGTGCATAACATTCGTAGAGATATGTGGAAGAGAAATTTCATAGAAAATATTCTGCCTATATAAGAGCGAAATATTCTAATTAAAAATTTTCATTTCCTATGATCGACTTAATTTTGTGTTCTGATCATTAGAAATATAGATTCGATTGAAGTCATTTATGAAATATTTACGGAAACCTCGGCAGTTTTTTCCGTTTCCTGAGTAGCCTTTTTTACATGTACAATTGAAAGATCCATCAGTATTGTTACAGTAGGCGTTGTTATGACAATCATGAGAGGCCGCGCCACACTCATCGATATCTGAATGGATTGAAAATTTAGGATTTTATTAGAAAAACTTGTTTTTACCTCTAAAATTGAAATTTTCTTAAAAATATCGATTTTTTCTTGTGATGGAACCTTCTGTTTCTCTTACTATTAGAATAGAGAAATTTAATATTTAAACGACCAACCTCTACAGTCAGTTCCATTTCCTGAGTAGCCATTTTTACATGTACAATTGAAAGATCCATTAGTATTGTTACAGTACGCATTGTCATGGCAATTATGAGAACTCACACCACATTCATCGATATCTGAATGAAATATTAACAAAAGTTACAGCGTAGTTATATGCATATATCTCTTTGCAAAATGAACAGGATAATTAAAATTTCTTCAAAGTTTTGAACTGTGCAAAGTTAGAATTACATCGTCTCTAATAATTACATACGGCTAACCTTCACAGTCAGTTCCATTTCCCAAGTAGCCGCTTTTGCATGAACAATTGAAAGAACCATCGGTATTATTGCAGTAGGCATTATGATGGCAATTATCAGATTTTTCAATGCATTCGTCGATATCTGAAAAAACATTTAATTAAGGATTAGGATTTTTTTATAATTATAGTGTTCATATATTCCCAAAAATTTTGATATTTTGCAAGTGTCATAAAAAAACTCAATTTTTCAATCATAAATTAAAATGATGGTGTAAAACAGTGCATAACATTCGTAGAGATATGTGGAAGAGAAATTTCATACAAAATATTCTGCCTATATAAGAGCGAAATATTCTAATTAAAAATTTTCATTTCCTATGATCGACTTAATTTTGTGTTCTGATCATTAGAAATATAGATTCGATTGAAGTCATTTATGAAATATTTACGGAAACCTCGGCAGTCTGTTCCGTTTCCTGAGTAGCCTTTTTACATGTACAATTGAAAGATCCATCAGTATTGTTACAGTAGGCGTTGTTATGACAATCATCAGAAGCCGCGACACACTCATCGATATCTGAATGGATTGAAAATTTAGGAATTTATTAGAAAAACTTGTTTTTACCTCTAAAATTGAAATTTTCTTAAAAATATCGATTTTTTCTTGTGATGGAACCTTCTGTTTCTCTTACTATTAGAATAGAGAAATTTAATATTTAAACGACCAACCTCTACAGTCAGTTCCATTTCCTGAGTAGCCATTTTTACATGTACAATTGAAAGATCCATTAGTATTGTTACAGTACGCATTGTCATGGCAATTATGAGAACTCACACCACATTCATCGATATCTGAATGAAATTAACAAAAGTTACAGCGTAGTTATATGCATATATCTCTTTGCAAAATGAACAGGATAATTAAAATTTCTTCAAAGTTTTGAACTGTGCAAAGTTAGAATTACATCGTCTCTAATAATTACATACGGCTAACCTTCGCAGTCAGTTCCATTTCCCAAGTAGCCGCTTTTGCATGAACAATTGAAAGAACCATCGGTATTATTGCAGTAGGCATTATGATGGCAATTATGAGATTTTTCAATGCATTCGTCGATATCTGAAAAAACATTTAATTAAGGATTAGGATTTTTTTATAATATAGTGTTCATATATTCCCAATAATTTTGATATTTTGCAAGTGTCATAAAAAAACTCAATTTTTCAATCATAAATTAAAATGATGGTGTAAAACAGTGCATAACATTCGTAGAGATATGTGGAAGAGAAATTTCATACAAAATATTCTGCCTATATAAGAGCGAAATATTCTAATTAAAAATTTTCATTTCCTATGATCGACTTAATTTTGTGTTCTGATGATTAGAAATATAGATTCGATTGAAGTCATTTATGAAATATTTACGGAAACCTCGGCAGTTTTTTCCGTTTCCTGAGTAGCCTTTTTTACATGTACAATTGAAAGATCCATCGGTATTATTGCAGTAGGCATTATGATGGCAATTATGAGATTTTTCAATGCATTCGTCGATATCTGAAACAACATTTAATTAAGGATTAGGATTTTTTTATAATTATAGTGTTCATATATTCCCAATAATTTTGATATTTTGCAAGTGTCATCGAAAAAAACTCAATTTTTCAATCATGCATTAAAATGATGGCGTAAAACAGTGCATAACATTCGTAGAGATATGTGGAAGAGAAATTTCATACAAAATATTCTGCCTATATAAGAGCGAAATATTCTAATTAAAAATTTTTATTTCCTATGATCGACTTAATTTTGTGTTCTGATCATTAGAAATATAGATTCGATTGAAGTCATTTATGAAATATTTACGGAAACCTCGGCAGTCTGTTCCGTTTCCTGAGTAGCCTTTTTTACATGTACAATTGAAAGATCCATCAGTATTGTTACAGTAGGCGTTGTTATGACAATCATCAGAAGCCGCGACACACTCATCGATATCTCAATGGATTGAAAATTTAGGAATTTATTAGAAAAACTTGTTTTTACCTCTAAAATTGAAATTTTCTTAAAAATATCGATTTTTTCTTGTGATGGAACCTTCTGTTTCTCTTACTATTAGAATAGAGAAATTTAATATTTAAACGACCAACCTCTACAGTCAGTTCCATTTCCTGAGTAGCCATTTTTACATGTACAAGTGAAAGATCCATCAGTATTGTTGCAGTATGCATTGTCATGGCAATTATGAGAACTCACACCACATTCATCGATATCTGAATGAAATATTAACAAAAGTTAGAGCGTAGTTATATATTCATATCTCTTTGAAAAATGAACAGGATAATTAAAATTTCTTCAAAGTTTTGAAATGTGCAAAGTTAGAATTACATCGTCTCTAATATTTACATACGGCTAACCTTCACAGTCAGTTCCATTTCCCAAGTAGCCGCTTTTGCATGAACAATTGAAAGAACCATCGGTATTATTGCAGTAGGCATTATGATGGCAATTATGAGATTTTTCAATGCATTCGTCGATATCTGAAAAAATATTTAATTAAGGATTAGGATTTTTTATAATTATAGTGTATATTCCCAATAATTCTGATATTTTCCAAGTGTCATCGAAAAAAATTCAGTTTTTCAATCATGCATTAAAATGAAGGTTGTAAAACAGTGCATAACATTCGTAGAGATATGTGCAAGAGAAATTTCATACAAAATATTCTGCCTATATAAGAGCGAAATATCCTAATTAAAAATTTTCATTTTCTTTGATCGAATTAATTTTTTGTCCTGATCATTAGAAATATAGATTCGAATGAAATAATTTATGAAATATTTACGGCAAACCTCGGCAGTCTGTTCCGTTTCCTGAGTAGCCTTTTTTACATGTACAATTGAAAGATCCATCAGTTTGTTACAGTAGGCGTTGTAATGACAATTATGAGAAGCCGTGCCACATTCATCGATATCTGAATGGATTAAAAATTAGGGAATTTATTAGAAAAACTTGTTATTACCTCTAGAATTGAAATTTTCTTAAAAATACCGATTTTTTCTTGTGATGGAACCTTCTGTTTCTCTTACTAATAGAATAGAGAAATTTAATATTTCAACTACCAACCTCTACAGTCTGTTCCATTTCCAAGGTAGCCATTTTTACATGTACAATTGAAAGATCCATTAGTATTGTTACAGTATGCATTGTCATGGCAATTATGAGAACTCACACCACATTCATCGATATCTGAATGAAATATTAACAAAAGTTAGAGCGTAGTTATATATTCATATCTCTTTGAAAAATGAACAGGATAATTAAAATTTCTTCAAAGTTTTGAAATGTGCAAAGTTAGAATTACATCGTCTCTAATATTTACATACGGCTAACCTTCACAGTCAGTTCCATTTCCCAAGTAGCCGCTTTTGCATGAACAATTGAAAGAACCATCGGTATTATTGCAGTAGGCATTATGATGGCAATTATGAGATTTTTCAATGCATTCGTCGATATCTGAAAAAATATTTAATTAAGGATTAGGATTTTTTTATAATTATAGTGTTCATATATTCCCAATAATTCTGATATTTTCCAAGTGTCATCGAAAAAAATTCAGTTTTTCAATCATGCATTAAAATGAAGGTTGTAAAACAGTGCATAACATTCGTAGAGATATGTGCAAGAGAAATTTCATACAAAATATTCTGCCTATATAAGAGCGAAATATCCTAATTAAAAATTTTCATTTCCTTTGATCGAATTAATTTTTTGTCCTGATCATTAGAAATATAGATTCGAATGAAATAATTTATGAAATATTTACGGCAAACCTCGGCAGTCTGTTCCGTTTCCTGAGTAGCCTTTTTTACATGTACAATTGAAAGATCCATCAGTATTGTTACAGTAGGCGTTGTAATGACAATTATGAGAAGCCGTGCCACATTCATCGATATCTGAATGGATTAAAAATTAGGGAATTTATTAGAAAACTTGTTATTACCTCTAGAATTGAAATTTTCTTAAAAATACCGATTTTTTCTTGTGATGGAACCTTCTGTTTCTCTTACTAATAGAATAGAGAAATTTAATATTTCAACTACCAACCTCTACAGTCTGTTCCATTTCCAAGGTAGCCATTTTTACATGTACAATTGAAAGATCCATTAGTATTGTTACAGTATGCATTGTCATGGCAATTATGAGAACTCACACCACATTCATCGATATCTGAATGAAATATTAACAAAAGTTAGAGCGTAGTTATATATTCATATCTCTTTGAAAAATGAACAGGATAATTAAAATTTCTTCAAAGTTTTGAAATGTGCAAAGTTAGAATTACATCGTCTCTAATATTTACATACGGCTAACCTTCACAGTCAGTTCCATTTCCCAAGTAGCCGCTTTTGCATGAACAATTGAAAGAACCATCGGTATTATTGCAGTAGGCATTATGATGGCAATTATGAGATTTTTCAATGCATTCGTCGATATCTGAAAAAATATTTAATTAAGGATTAGGATTTTTTTATAATTATAGTGTTCATATATTCCCAATAATTCTGATATTTTCCAAGTGTCATCGAAAAAAATTCAGTTTTTCAATCATGCATTAAAATGAAGGTTGTAAAACAGTGCATAACATTCGTAGAGATATGTGCAAGAGAAATTTCATACAAAATATTCTGCCTATATAAGAGCGAAATATCCTAATTAAAAATTTTCATTTCCTTTGATCGAATTAATTTTTTGTCCTGATCATTAGAAATATAGATTCGAATGAAATAATTTATGAAATATTTACGGCAAACCTCGGCAGTCTGTTCCGTTTCCTGAGTAGCCTTTTTTACATGTACAATTGAAAGATCCATCAGTATTGTTACAGTAGGCGTTGTAATGACAATTATGAGAAGCCGTGCCACATTCATCGATATCTGAATGGATTAAAAATTAGGGAATTTATTAGAAAAACTTGTTATTACCTCTAGAATTGAAATTTTCTTAAAAATACCGATTTTTTCTTGTGATGGAACCTTCTGTTTCTCTTACTAATAGAATAGAGAAATTTAATATTTCAACTACCAACCTCTACAGTCTGTTCCATTTCCAAGGTAGCCATTTTTACATGTACAATTGAAAGATCCATTAGTATTGTTACAGTATGCATTGTCATGGCAATTATGAGAACTCACACCACATTCAACGATATCTGAATGAAATATTAACAAAAGTTAGAGCGTAGTTATATATTCATATCTCTTTGAAAAATGAACAGGATAATTAAAATTTCTTCAAAGTTTTGAAATGTGCAAAGTTAGAATTACATCGTCTCTAATATTTACATACGGCTAACCTTCACAGTCAGTTCCATTTCCCAAGTAGCCGCTTTTGCATGAACAATTGAAAGAACCATCGGTATTATTGCAGTAGGCATTATGATGGCAATTATGAGATTTTTCAATGCATTCGTCGATATCTGAAAAATATTTAATTAAGGATTAGGATTTTTTTATAATTATAGTGTTCATATATTCCCAATAATTCTGATATTTTCCAAGTGTCATCGAAAAAAATTCAGTTTTTCAATCATGCATTAAAATGAAGGTTGTAAAACAGTGCATAAACATTCGTAGAGATAGGTGAAAGAGAAATTTCATACAAAATATTCTGCCTATATAAGAGCGCAATATCCTAATTAAAAATTTTCATTTCCTTTGATCGACTTAATTTTTTGTCCTGATCATTAGAAATATAGATTCGATTGAAGTAATTTATGAAATATTTACGGCAAACCTCGGCAGTCTGTTCCGTTTCCTGAGTAGCCTTTTTTACATGTACAATTGAAAGATCCATCAGTATTGTTACAGTAGGCGTTGTAATGACAATTATGAGAAGCCGTGCCACATTCATCGATATCTGAATGGATTAAAAATTAGGAAATTTATTAGAAAAACTTGTTATTACCTCTAGAATTGAAATTTTCCTAAAAATACCGATTTTTTCTTGCGATGGAACCTTCTGTTTCTCTTATTAATAGAATAGAGAAATTTAATATTTCAACTACCAACCTCTACAGTCTGTTCCATTTCCTGAGTAGCCATTTTTACATGTACAATTGAAAGATCCATTAGTATTGTTACAGTATGCATTGTCATGGCAATTATGAGAACTCACACCACATTCATCGATATCTGAATGAAATATTAACAAAAGTTAGAGCGTAGTTATATATTCATATCTCTTTGAAAAATGAACAGGATAATTAAAATTTCTTCAAAGTTTTGAAATGTGCAAAGTTAGAATTACATCGTCTCTAATATTTACATACGGCTAACCTTCACAGTCAGTTCCATTTCCCAAGTAGCCGCTTTTGCATGAACAATTGAAAGAACCATCGGTATTATTGCAGTAGGCATTATGATGGCAATTATGAGATTTTTCAATGCATTCATCGATATCTGAAAAAATATTTAATTAAGGATTAGGATTTTTTTATAATTATAGTGTTCATATATTCCCAATAATTCTGATATTTTCCAAGTGTCATCGAAAAAAATTCAGTTTTTCAATCATGCATTAAAATGAAGGTTGTAAAACAGTGCATAACATTCGTAGAGATATGTGCAAGAGAAATTTCATACAAAATATTCTGCCTATATAAGAGCGAAATATCCTAATTAAAAATTTTCATTTCCTTTGATCGAATTAATTTTTTGTCCTGATCATTAGAAATATAGATTCGAATGAAATAATTTATGAAATATTTACGGCAAACCTCGGCAGTCTGTTCCGTTTCCTGAGTAGCCTTTTTTACATGTACAATTGAAAGATCCATCAGTATTGTTACAGTAGGCGTTGTAATGACAATTATGAGAAGCCGTGCCACATTCATCGATATCTGAATGGATTAAAAATTAGGGAATTTATTAGAAAAACTTGTTATTACCTCTAGAATTGAAATTTTCTTAAAAATACCGATTTTTTCTTGTGATGGAACCTTCTGTTTCTCTTACTAATAGAATAGAGAAATTTAATATTTCAACTACCAACCTCTACAGTCTGTTCCATTTCCAAGGTAGCCATTTTTACATGTACAATTGAAAGATCCATTAGTATTGTTACAGTATGCATTGTCATGGCAATTATGAGAACTCACACCACATTCATCGATATCTGAATGAAATATTAACAAAAGTTAGAGCGTAGTTATATATTCATATCTCTTTGAAAAATGAACAGGATAATTAAAATTTCTTCAAAGTTTTGAAATGTGCAAAGTTAGAATTACATCGTCTCTAATATTTACATACGGCTAACCTTCACAGTCAGTTCCATTTCCCAAGTAGCCGCTTTTGCATGAACAATTGAAAGAACCATCGGTATTATTGCAGTAGGCATTATGATGGCAATTATGAGATTTTTCAATGCATTCGTCGATATCTGAAAAAATATTTAATTAAGGATTAGGATTTTTTTATAATTATAGTGTTCATATATTCCCAATAATTCTGATATTTTCCAAGTGTCATCGAAAAAATTCAGTTTTTCAATCATGCATTAAAATGAAGGTTGTAAAACAGTGCATAAACATTCGTAGAGATAGGTGAAAGAGAAATTTCATACAAAATATTCTGCCTATATAAGAGCGCAATATCCTAATTAAAATTTTCATTTCCTTTGATCGACTTAATTTTTGTCCTGATCATTAGAAATATAGATTCGATTGAAGTAATTTATGAAATATTTACGGCAAACCTCGGCAGTCTGTTCCGTTTCCTGAGTAGCCTTTTTTACATGTACAATTGAAAGATCCATCAGTATTGTTACAGTAGGCGTTGTAATGACAATTATGAGAAGCCGTGCCACATTCATCGATATCTGAATGGATTAAAAATTAGGAAATTTATTAGAAAAACTTGTTATTACCTCTAGAATTGAAATTTTCCTAAAAATACCGATTTTTTCTTGCGATGGAACCTTCTGTTTCTCTTATTAATAGAATAGAGAAATTTAATATTTCAACTACCAACCTCTACAGTCTGTTCCATTTCCTGAGTAGCCATTTTTACATGTACAATTGAAAGATCCATTAGTATTGTTACAGTATGCATTGTCATGGCAATTATGAGAACTCACACCACATTCATCGATATCTGAATGAAATATTAACAAAAGTTAGAGCGTAGTAATATACATATATCTCTTTGAAAAATGAACAGGATAATTAAAATTTCTTCAAAGTTTTGAAATGTGCAAAGTTAGAATTACATCGTCTCTAATATTTACATACGGCTAACCTTCACAGACAGTTCCATTTCCCAAGTAGCCGCTTTTGCATGAACAATTGAAAGAACCATCGGTATTAGTGCAGTAGGCGTTAGGATGGCATTTATGAGATTTTTCAATGCATTCGTCGATATCTGAAAAAATATTTAATTAAGGATTAGGATTTTTTTATAATTATAGTGTTCATATATTCCCAATAATTCTGATATTTTGCTAGTGCCATTGAAGAGAACTCAGTTTTTTCAAGCAGTTATTACAATTGAAATGGTGAAACAATGCATAACATTCGTAGAGATATGTGCATGAGAAAGTTTATGCAAAATATTATGCCAATAAGAGCGAAATGTTCTAATTCAAAATTTTCATTTTCTATGAACGACTTAATTTGAGCCCAGATAATTAGAAATATAGATTCAATTGAAGTAATTTATGACATATTTGACGGCAAACCTCGACATTCTGTTCCGTTTTCTGAGTAGCCTTTTTTGCATGTACAATTGAAAGATCCATCAGTATTGTTACAGTAGGCGTTGTAATGACAATTATGAGAAGCCGTGCCACATTCATCGATATCTGAATGGATTAAAAATTTAAGGAATGTATAGGAAAAACTTGTTATTACCTCTACAACTTAAATTTTCTTAAAAATATCGATTTTTTCTTGGGATGGAACCTTCTGTTTCTCTTACTAACAGAATAGAGAAATTTAATATTTAAACGACCAACCTCCACAGTCAATTCCATTTCCGGAGTAGCCATTTTTACATGTACAAGTGAAAGATCCATTAATATTGTTACAGTATGCATTGTCATGGCAATTATGAGAACTCACACCACATTCATCGATATCTGAACGAAATAATAACAAAAGTTAGCGCGTAGTTATATATTTATATCTCTTTGAAAAATGAGCAGGATAATTAAAATTTCTTCAAAGTTTTGAAGTGTTCGAATTTAGAATTATATCGTCTCTAGTATTTACGTACGGCTAACCTTCACAGTCAGTTCCATCTCCGAAGTAGCCGCTCTTGCATGAACAATTGAAAGAACCATCAGTATTATTGCAGTAGGCGTTGTGATGGCAATTATGAGATTTTGCAAAGCATTCGTCGATATCTAAAAAAATATTAAACGATAGGGTTAGGATTTTTTATGATTATGGTGTTAATTTTTTCCTCTTAATTCTGATATTTTGCCGAAAGAAACTCCGTTTTCGTTAGCAAGCATTACAATGGAGGTTGTGAACGCATGCATAACATTCGTAGAGATATGTGCATTAGAAAGTTTATACTAAAAATTCTGCCTATAGAGCGAAATATTCTAATTAAATATTTTCATTTTGTTACATCGACTTTCGAGCAAAAAAATTAGAAATATAGATTCAATTGCAGTAATTCATGAAATTTTTTCGGCAAACCTCTGCAGTCAGTTCCGTTTCCTGAGTAGCCTTTTTTACATGTACAATTGAAAAATCCATTAGTATTGTTACAGTATGCATTGTCATGGCAATTATGAGAAGTCGCGTCACATTCATCGATATCTGAATGAAATATTAACGAAAGTTAGAGCGTAGTAATTTATATCTGTTTTAAAAATCAACAAAGTGATTAAAATTTCTTCAAAGTTTTGAAGTGTTCGAAGTTAGAATTATATCGTCTCTAATATTTACGTACGGCTAACCTTCACAGTCAGTTCCATTTCCGAAGTAGCCGCTCATGCATGAACAATTGAAAGAACCATCAGTATTACTGCAGTAGGCGTTCTGATGGCAATTATGAGATTTTGCAATGCATTCGTCAAAATCTGAAAAATATTCAATTAAGGATTAGGATTTTTTTGTATTTATAGTGTTTATATATTCCTAATAATTCTGATATTTTGTAAGTGGCATAGAAAAAAACTCAGTTTTTTCAAGCAGTCATTACAATGGAGGTTTTAAAACAGTGCATATACATTCGTAGAGAAAGATCCATCAGTATTGTTACAGTAAGCGTTTACATGGCAATTTTGAGAACTGGCAGCACAGTAATCGATATCTGAATAAATTGATAACAAACGCTAGAGCGTTGTAATTTATATATGTTTGAAAAAGGAACCAGGAGATTAAAATTTACGTACAGCCAACCTTGGAAGTCTGTCCCATTTCGGGAGTAGGCGTTATTACATGCATGTACAATTCAAAGAATCATCAGTATTGTTACAGTAGGCATTGTAACATGTGTATTGTTACCATTAGGCACTGTAATTGCAATTGTCAGAACCTGCACTACATTCTTCGATATCTCACAAGAATATTGAACGGGAGAATAAAGATTTTTTGTTTAATAAAGGTATTCAAATTTCCTTGAAAATTCTGGAATTTTGCAATATTTTCGTGAATCAAAAGTGAAAATAAAGAAATCAATGGACTTTATTATTATATCTGCATCTATACAAAAATGTCAGTAATTATACAAAAATTCATGTGAAATGTAGCATTTTAATTAGTTAATTTTTAAAAATTCTTTAAGCATTTATTAGGCACTTTAATTATATTTTTGTGCCATTTCATTTCTATTGAAATATCTATATTATTGATATGTATAACTGCTAAAAAGAAGATATATGTTAAGTTAGCATAAAAATATATTGGTTTGTGCATTTAATCAAGAGACATTAGGCATTCGGTTGTATATTCATCATTTTTTCGTAAAATATACTCGACATATACAGGGTGTCTCAAAAAAATTCGAATCGAAATTTTGCGTGTAATAATGGAAAATATATTTGACAAATTTGGTTGATTTTTACACCATTGTAAAGTTCATTTGTTTCTCTTTTAAATGACACGTTGTACGTGTCATTTAGTTGAAAAGTGAAGGAGTACTGGTTTGACAAAAAAAGTTCATAAAAATCACAAATTTCCGCTGATGGGAATTGGAAGTTTGTTTTATTGAAAGTTAGTCCTAAAGGGCTTTAAAGTCTAAATTACTTGAAAACTAAAATGCAAATTTATCGCACAAATTCTGCTTATTCAATGTTCAACGATAGCTTTGAAGAACAAAATGCCTCAATTAAGCACGGAATAACGATCATTTATTGATTAAATTTGCATTTACTTTTGTCTGGAGGTCTCACTTCGAATTCCAATCGGCGGAAAAATTTGATTTCGAGCAACAAATTTTAAAAGACGATAACTCGGCCAGTTTTGGTCGTGTCGATATAAGAACGGTATAATCGCAAACTGAATAAGCTAATCTTTCTTGCCATATAAAAATTATATCGTTTACTTTAGTATTTTATACACAGCAGCCTGTCAAAGTTGCATTCGAATTTTTTTTATACACACTGTATAGCGTCATAAAACTTTCCAAGAAAAATTTGTCAAATTTTTGGGGCCCACACCCCAGCAAATAAAACTCGGGAAAGAAAACTTGTTCGGAATACACACCAGCAAGTTGTAATATAATGATATTTATACGTAGGCAAGAGAAGAACCGGTGTGGAACACCGCGGAAAAATATCTTTGCACGCGCCGAAATATCAAAATATGATGGTAAATGTAAATATCAACTTTTGGAACAAAACATGCCCATTTTTTGATAAAATATAAGTTAAGAAAAGGCAAAAATATACAAGACGGCCAGACAGAACATAAATTAAAAGCCTTCTAGCATTTAGAGTATCGAACGAACTGGAATTCACGGTAAATTTTCCTTTTTTTACGGGGTGGCTTTAGAATATTTTTCGAAAACAAAGTTTAAACCTAAAAGTTAAGAAAACCCGCGGAAAGTTAAGCTTTCTAATGTATTTAAATTGTAAAATACATCTTAATTTTCAATCATTGAGAACACGCAAACGTCTCGTATCTGGCGACATGTTTTTTTTAATAAAACGTGTCTCAATTAAAAGTTCGGAAACTGTCTTTGCTTATTTGATAAACAAAATGTTTGAGACAAAAAAATTGTTAACAGTCACCTTTTACAGGTGTTTTTGTAGGATGCCACTTCTAGGACTCTCTGGACGTTTTTTCTCTTAGTTTCTATCATGCAATGTTTATTTATGCCCTCGAAATATGGATTTGAAGACACGAATGAAATCACTCCTTTTTGCTGCCATTTTTAGCCTTCGGAAACGTTCGGAACCGCTTTTTAATTAATTTTAATCTCATTTACAGGCAGAATTGACGCGTGCGCAGACGTTTTTCCGCGGTGTTCCGGTGTGGCGGTCTGAGATTGTTCCGTGCTGAAATTGTTCTGCACATGCGCATTAGCAGTATGCGACCGCGGTCTTGTGTGCCGAAATGTTGCCGTGCTGAGATTGCAACATTCTGCATAATTCTCCGTTCGTAAACACAGCAAGAAAGCAGCCGATCTAAATCTCAATAATTTTTTGATATTTTGAAACAACTGGTGATTTTTTACAAGTAACTATCCAGTGACCATCAACATATTGAAGGTAAGGGCTTCTAAAGTTTAAAAATTTGGTAGATATAAGCTCTTCAAGAAGCGTTGTGATATTTTTGCTTGACATACAGAGCACGTGTAAAAAACTGTGCAAGGCCATATTCATAATAATAAATCGACAGGATTTCGCTTTGGATTCACATCTTAGACTAAGTATACACACTAGAACTTGGCAAGTAAATCTGATACTGGCAGTAGTGTAGGGCATTACGAAATGTTAATGTTTCATCGATCTGATCTGGTCTAAATGTCAGATCACTCTGATGAGCACACAACTTGTTTAAGTTATACACTGTTCGTCTAGAGTAGTGTGTAAATACTACTATATAAATACTACTATATAATTACTACTATATAATTCAATTTTCAGCTATAATTATGAGAGGCAAATTAAATTCAAGACTTCATGCTAGTTACATTTGGCAATGATATATTTATTTTTATTTGAATTACTTCGTTGCTCTAGGTTGTGCGATAATCATGGCTACTGCAACTAAAGTGGTCGCAACTTCAGCCAATGAGACTGCAGCTCCAGAAGAAGTAAATGGCATTGGCAAAGATATTTTGGTAGAACATGAGTTGTCAGATTCTGCAGCAGTTGGTAATGATGATTCTGCAGCAGTTGGTAATGATGGAAATCATCCGCAAATGGCTAAGCATCATTCAACTAGAGAAGAAAGACTTGCGAAGTACAGAATACTATGCCAGAATCTCATTGTGTACCTGACAACAAATGTTTGCCCACCAAATGTAAGCAAAAAAGAAGCGAGGAACATTAAAAACCAAGCTAAGACACACCAGTGGGATTCTAAAAGTAAGTCATGGTTGTCTAATGTTCATGGCTGTCTAATTTTGTCTATTATTTTCCTATGTATTATCAATTAACTCATCGAGTGGCAATGCACCCCAGTGCGCCCTACTTATTTTGTTTCACTTGTCTAACGCCTGATGATTTTACTCGTCAGTGGGGAAGCTCTGCCACTTAATGGGTTAATATCTTGAATGTCTTGGTTGATTCTATTGTCAACTATTTCAAGTGACTATTAGGTGTAAGGTTACAATTTGCATTGGTGTTCTACAATTTAACCAATAATTTTTATTCCAATGTTCTATATCGAACAGCAATTAGCAAAATCATATTTCTTTTTCATACAGAGAAGGAGTTAGGATATGTTGGTGCAAAGAAAAATATGTGGCAAAAAGTCATCACTGAAGTTGAAGAAATATCAGAAATTCTCTACCAATACCACTCTAATCCAATGGGTGGGCACAGTGAGATAAATAATACTTTGGCAAAAATATCACAGTTTCATTTGTGGAATGGCATGACAGAGGATGTTGTTGAATATGTAAGTGTAACTATTAATAATCTTGTTTATTTACTAGACTTCAACCTTAATCTTTTAAGGCATATCCCATATTATATATAATATTGGCTTTAAGTTATTAAAAAAATAAAAAAAAAAAGTGATGTCAAAAACAGTAAAAAACATATACCATACCATAATGTTTAATAATCATAGTGCATTTCATTGTTAGTGTAAATCCTGTGATCGCTGTCAACGGTTTGAGAAGTTGAAAACCCAAGCACCTGAACTCAAGCCAATTAAAGTGAACAAGGCTTTGGAACTGGTTGGGATGGACCTAATAGGTAAGGCTTCATATAGGTTCTTAACCCATTAACTGGCAATGCGCTCTACTCTTTGTTTTGACAAACAAAAGACGATTTTACTTGTCAATGGGGAAGCTCTGATGCTTAATATGTAAAGCACAAAATTTAACAATGTCTGTCGTTAACCCACAAATGTACATGTATATTTCTATATTTCCTATATTTAAATTTATAGGACCTCTGCCCACCACTGATAATGGATATATGTTTTGACATTCACGGACTACTACAAAAAGTTTGTGGACTTCTATCCATTAAAGGAAAAAGCAGCTGCTGGAATTGCACAGAGTATAAAAACATTTGTTTGCAGGTAAAGTAAAAACTAACATGTTTAAAAACCCTAAATTTATTATTTGGACGAAGATTTTTTTCTTATGTTTCTAGATGGGGTGCTCCTTGCAGCCTTCTGTCTGACCAAGGACGGGAAATTCTGGCAAAGGTAAACACATATATTTATTTAGCTTTGATTTATAATGGCATACCATGGAGCATTAATTGATCAATAACCATCTTCACACAAGCTCAATATATTTTAACCTTTTATTAGGTGAATGCAGAGGTTTGCAAAAAGTTTGGCATCAATCGTTCTGTCACTAGTGCGTACCATCCTCAGACGAATGGTCTTGATGAACGGACCAACAAACCCTCAAAGTACGTCTTGCCAAATTAGTAAATGAGCACCAAAA